AGTTTGAGTTTTTGAAAGTTAGAAATTTAAACTTATATATTAACATTCTAAACTCAAAATCATTTCAGAAATATGAATAGTTGAGTGTTACATGGACCAAAAAACTCTAAATGTTTTGGTTATTTGAAGTTTGAATGTTTGAATCAAAATTCTTAATTTAAAAAAATATTAAAAAAAAAAAAAAAAAAAAATTAAAGAAATGAAAGTTGAAATTAGATGTTTGAAGTAAATTTTGAAATATCAAACGACGTAAAACTGTACTGAACTTAAGACTGTTAAAACGTTAACGTTCTTAAAAAAAACGGTAGATTAAAAACTCAAAAGTTTAAAATGCAAAACTTGTTCTTGAAAGTTTGAATTTTGAATATTTTTGGTTAAAAATCTAAAAACTTAAGTCTAAAACCTGTTTGGAAATTTGAAAATTTAGATTTTTGAACTTACTGTTATATTTCAATTTACCAAGTTAATTTTTGAGATTTAGATATTTGAACTAATATATTAACATTCTAAAACTCAAAATAATCTTAGAAATTTGAATTGTTAAGTGTTACATGGACCTTATACAGTTTGATCGACTTTATAATTCTATTGAAATCGCAACCTTTCTCTCTCTTTCTCTCTCCATGGCACTCCACCATCCCGAGATACTGTATATAAATGGACTTGTATATTGTTTTAATTAAATTGCAGTGATGAGTTGAAGGATAAATCGGATACACAAACATATATGTTAGACAATTTTGTAAACAATTTATGTAGACTTTATCATAGTTAACACATTTCCTTATCGACTCAGCTTTAATTTTCATTTGAAATCCAAGAATCTGCATTGAAATTTAATGCTAAGTATAGCATTCTTAAACAAATGTAAACCAATTAAAACTAGTGCTAATTGTAACGGGGACCGTTACAGATGTTCCCCAAACGCTCCCCAACTCCCTTTCGGTGCCATATTCCCTGGAAGCTTCATTAAATCAGACAAACTCGATGCATTTGAAACTTTAACAACGTTTACCCAGAAGTATACAAAGTTCATTCAAATTTTAGCATTGTGCGCATGTGAATGCATGTGCGTAATGACCATACCATCTTGTCTACACAATCTATATATTTTAATATACTAAATATTAAAGTATTTAATCCAAAAGTATTAAAAAGATGCACTCATTCAAGTGTTTTTTTTAGTTTGCTCATTTCACGTGCACGCACGTGCATACATGAGCATGGTGACTATACCTTCTTGTAGATGTCCGTTACATCTATCTATGTTCTAAATCCCACCCCGTTTGGTTGAAAACCAAGGGAGTTATAGCTGTTTAAAGTTTCAGCCAATCAGATTGCAGCGCACGTACATGCACGTGTATGCATGTGCATGGTGACCACATTTTCTTGTAGTAGACCAGTATATCTATCTATGTTCCAAATCCCATCCTGTTTGGTTAAAAATCAAAGGAGTTATAGCTATTTAAAATTTAAGCCAATCAGAATGCAGCGCACGTGCATGCACGTGTTTTCATGATAATGGCTATACATCAAGTTGTAGGATATTCTAATGCATGGCTATATTCAAAATTTCAAAGGATTTCGTCAAAAAACAAGAAAGATATTGCGACTTTAGTTTCAGCCAATCAGAGCAAAGCGCACGTGCATGCGCGTGAGATCTTGCTATTTTGACCATGTCATATTGTCTATGCTACTAATATATCCATGTGTTATAAGTTTCAAAGCATTTCATCAAAAATTTAAAAAGTTACACCTATATCAACTAAATCGGTCATTTCACATGTTGCACGTGCACGCTCTTGCAAGCACGTGCGCGCAAAATGACCTTCGTTCCGCAAATCTACATAACATGTCTACTGACTCTAAAAACATTTCACCTTAGTCGGCTGTATAGTTTACGAGATCATTCCCGGACAAAAAAGTACCCAGGAAGAAGAAGAAGAAGAAAAATAATAATAATAATAATAAGAAACAGAGTAAAAACAATATGTTCCCCAACTTCGTTTGGGGAACATAAAAATCTATATAGGTTTTAAAATGTACACTGTAACAAAATGTGTACATAAAAAGAAAAGAAAAAGGATATGATGAAATATCAACTTCTTCGGATTTTTGCTGCCCCAATAACTTTCATTGTCTGGTTCCATAAAACGGTTTTATTTTCTCATGTATCCGCCTATGACAGGTCCATTTTAAAGTCATCACAAAGCCGAGTCTTCACACGAGGTTGTCACCCCTGTAAACATTTGGACTCGTCCAATACCCGACTTTCTTTTACGTTGCGTCAAATGAAAACAAGAGCACGTTAATGATAATGCTGGGAGATTGAGGGGATGAGCCAACCACGTTCCCCCGATATCGGGAGGGACAAGGAAGGGGTGCCATGTTCCTATAGCCCCCCTTTACCCTTGGACTGGCTGGACATCAAACAGGAAGAAGATGAACCGAAGATGTGCGGGAGGGAGGTGGTAAGTCTGTAACAACGATCAGCTGATCCAGATGGTATAATTAATGTAGCATTACACAGTATATTATTGAATGAGCTAACTTCTCACAAATGTTGTTAGTACAGAGCTGCGTTCAACAGTTCAAAGTTTGTTGCATTTATTATTTCATGCAATTGCTGCAGGTGCTAGACTTTTTTTGATTTTGCGCAGCGGAGTTTGTCAAGTATACTTTCAGAAATTACAAATGAGCATACAGTGGTAAAACATATAGTGAAAACAGTTTTGGTTTACAAAAGAGCATTTGATGACAGGATTAAGCAGTTTTGAAATGTAATCACGAGCTTCACTTCACTTAGTTTTGACCAAGAGCGGCCTTGATATTTTTTTTCAAACTGTGTTCATCAGTGAATCCTTTGAGACAAAAATAGACTACACGTCGCATTGCTGACAAAAGCCCTGTGTAAAGACTGGAACACGCTGGTCTCAATGTTTTTACAAAAAGCCAGTAGTCACTGAATGAAATACCGGACGCAAACCTTGCAGTCTTTATATAAATCATGATAGTGCGTATACAGGAAAGAGTGGTTTCCTCTCCTATCTTTTCAGTTCTAATTTACCTTTAAATTATGGTTTTATGTACTAAATATTTATTTTTAAAATTATCTTATCCTTTTTAAAATATTTAGCTTACCCTCATGCAGTGTTAATTTTTGTATATAAATTCTGCAGTTCACATTTAATGTATAGGTGTCGCGCTACGTACTATAAGGGTTTTTGGACTGATTTACAAGTAGTGCAGGTAAAATTTCCAAAATGTTACTCTATTATCCTAAAAACAAGAATCCATGATTTGTTTTTATATTTGTCAGTCAAAAAAAAAAAAACGACCAAAAGAGAAGTATTTGCATTCAAAGTCATTTTATTGATCATTGAATATTTTAAATGCTAAACAAGACTGTTGAAATCTCTATGATAAATCCCTATGATATAAACTTAACCGTCAACAGGCTTTCATATTATTAAAAGATAATAACTGACACAGCTCTATAGTTTATAGTTATCAGATTCTTCAGTTCCTCTTAGAAGAGAACATTTAGTCGTGACTTATTAAGCCCGACCTGAACCAAAACTTGTACTGGCGAAACCAGTAAATTTGATTTTCATTAAGGCCCATTCTTGCCAGAAATAACGATCATGTCTATTTCTAAAATGACTGCATGTGCTTACGGCTCTAACCACAAAATTAGCGTGCACCTCTCATTGGCGTCGGAAGCAAAATGAAAGGGGGGGGGGGGGTAAGTGAAAGAGAATTTTATTACAAACCTATAAAAAAACCTATTTCGGGGGGGGGGGGGGCAAGGGAGAAAGGGGGGTTTTAAAGCACGAACGTTTTTCAGTACCAAAATTTTTCGAACCCACGATCACATACCCTTTTTTGAGCTAAACTTCAAAGTGTCTTTTGAAAGTGGGGGAGGGGGCTAAACCTACGCCCCAATTTGCAATGCCTATACTATGCCTATATTTGCAAAAAAGGGGTTTAAGCCCCCGGGTGCGTATCATTACCGCTACATTTTCAAAATTTTCATTACCGCTACATAGTCATTACCGCTACAGAAAACCTTACGTTACCGCTACATAATCAAAGTACTGAAAGTACTGAAAAGCGGTTAGCATGCTTTCATCTAATATGTACCGAAAAAGTGCATAAAATGATGATATTTAAATATGCATATCTTTGTCCAATGTCATCAGAGAAGAAAAACCCAGACATTCCGTTTTTTGTAATACTTTACTCAATAGTAAAACCAATAACATTCCAAACTGATGTCACAGATGGATGCAATCTAATTAAAATTAGATGTTCCGAATCCGCTACTGCTTCTCAAACATCTAACAACATCCTATTTGGGGTCATGTAAGAGTGAATCTTCGATTAGGCAAAGAAAATGATTCCTCCGAAATCCTGGCTAATAGTTCACAGGGGCGTAGCTGCCTATACGCCAGCACGCCATGGCGTGCACATCTTTTAGTCCAAAAAAAAATACTGTGCATTTTTATAAAATTTATTATTAAAAAAATGATTATATCGTCATATAAAAAAATTAAATTCCTAAAAGATTCCGTACTTTGCAGTACATTAGATTCTATTAATTCAGCGCTATATCCAACAATAGAGTCCATTTTATTCATATTGCTAACCATGCCGGTAGCAAGCGCAACTGCAGAGAGGTCCTTCAGCGTTTTGCGGCGACTGAAAACGTACGTCCGTTCCACTATGAGAAATGACAGATTGTCATCGCTTGGACTTCTCCATATTCACAGAGATTTTAAAATTGATATAGAAAAAGCAATGGAACTATTTGTTAATGCTAAATCCAGAAAAATGGATTTTGGAGAATTTTAGGTAAAGACTAAACGATAGGACACGAAACATGACGCCGCACGTTTTAGGGAAATTAAATTTGCTGGATTGAAATTGTTTTGTTTTATTTTCATTATTTAAAAATTAGACAAAAAATGTAACTAAAAATACCTTTTTAAAGTAATCACAAAAATTCAGACAATGCACTTGATTTTATAAAAAAAAAAAAAAAAAAAACATAAATATTTTTCAAATATTAATAGATCTATTATTTTTTGGTGTCATAAATCAAAATATCGCGAAGTTGACGGCCCCCAAGGCGGCCCCCAGACCCCCTGCCTTTTTTGGCGTGCACATCATTTTCGTCTAGCTACGCCCCTGGTTCAGATGGGTTTCTTGTTTTCACCACCCAACCAAAACACCCGAGGAGTTTTGTAGTAAAAAGATATGCATTGCAAAAGTTGTGTTATGTATGACGTGTGGGGTATCTTGTATAGTTTGTGCTCTTTCGTTTGCATTATTCACGTTTAGATGCCAGACTGCAGAAGATACATGAAATTTATTCCAAAATTACTTTAATTCAACGTAAGACAGTATCAATAATGATGATATGTAGCCGTGGAATTAATTTGAGAACTGTTTACCGAGGCTTGAATCTACATGGCCAAAGTGTTTGTGTTTACTTGTACATGTATTCATAATTGAAAGGTCGCTCTGATGTGACCCCGAATGGGATGTTAGATGTTCCAGAAGCGGTGGCGGATTTGGAACATTTAAATAAATTTTAATAAGATTGAAATGCATGTTTCAAAATTTAAACATAAGATTTCTTCAGTTTGAAAGACAGGAAGTGCATTTTTAAAAATTCTCTCTTGATGGCATCTAATTGTTCTCTGGATAAAAAAAAATTATGTTGATGTTGAAAATTTCATTGTCTTTTATTCTCTATTGAATCTGAAATTAGGTAATTGTAAAGCCTACTATAACAAACAACTAAAAAAATGACAAGTTAAATTCTTTAGATTAATGGATTTTGAGTAGTGTAGATCTACAGCTGGCTAGTCAGAGAAAAAAGGATGGCTGAGGAGAGACTTTGTAAATGAATTGATATCAGAGAGATTCAGTTGTGTAGGCTCATCGCGGCAATATAATTAACCTGTCAACGAGGGATGCTTACTTTTTCTAGGCAACGGATCCCACCTCTTGAACTTTCAGGAGTCAGCTTTTCTTCTAAAATCGATCATTCTGTATTTTGATACAGATACTGAATACTTCCTTTAGTAATATTATAAACTTCTACTTCTACGGGAAGACTGGCGAGTAAACAAGATTATCAAGCTTTATGAAATATATTTTATTGACTTTTCAAACAAGTAAATGTTCGAATAAAGTAAATGGTATATGAGAATCATTTGAAAGAAGTCTTGCACAATATAAGGCACAATATCTAGATAAGGACATATAAGGTGTTTTTATCATATACTCTTCATGCAATATTGTTCTCAAATAAAACATGAAAAAGAAAGTTATGTAATCAATCAATACTAGTATTTAAAAATTCAAATGTACATTAAAAATCAGTGTAACTTAAGAAGTTATCAGTGTCACTTTCTTCAATATGTCGGTTAAACAATATACACTGATTTCTTTTCTATCAATGTGCCTCTAAACACCTGTATTTTAATTTTATTCTTCTCAAACGTTTAAAACAATAATCGACAAATTGGACAAATTCAAATTTTAAAAGTATTTTCACAGCTAATAATACGTTCCCTAGGAATTGATCAAATTTTCAAAACTTATAAATAAGAATGAAGTATATATTTTAAATTTTTGCTAATTGCCAAAATTTTTCATACCTCATTCTTCTGTGAAAATAATATCGGTTGATTTTTAGATGAGGATCACAATGCTGATTAAAATTAATATATATTTCTCCATTTTTTTTTTCAAAATTGATTTTACTACTTTAAGTGCTCCATTATTTTTTACAAAACTAATAGTAAGTAATCCCTTATGATCGATTGTTATAAATTATCAAAGTCGGAGTAGAGAATTTATCCCTGGGAGCAGAGCTTTTATAATCTGTTTATTAGACAGAGAAGAAAAGAGAAGAAAAACAAACGTTTCATAGTGGAGGTAACCCTATTGTTTCCATAAAACGTTACAAAAAGTGTAAAACTTACAGATGCGTTCGGTGTTTTTATAAAAGCGCTTTTCAGGTATTAACTTAATAAATGGTGTTTCTCAATACTTTGGCAAGGAAAATCAAACTCGATCGAGAGATTTGATGATGTTTTTGCAGTCTGTAATAACCTCCAACCTGCTGTATAATAAACTTTCAAAAATAAACTAACAGTTGCCAGAAATCGCGATCGCGCGATACACATGTAATAAGGACCAAATTCTCAGTTCTTAAAATTAAGTGTTGTAAGTATTGTCAATGCTTTGGTAAATATACTAAAAAGAATTCGATATAATCGTTATAATAGCCACTCTTCATACACAGCATATACTTCGTTAGTACGAAGTGATATACATGTAGTAGGGGCTGGCTTTAGTCAGACTTCACAGCATATTGTCAATCTCTAACCAGGGGGCGTATTACGCCGACAGTATACAAATCATTTGCTGAAGTTACCGTTGTCGATAGGTAGGTCCTTGTGGAAGTTTCCGGTTTTGGTTGCAGAAGGATAAGGTTACGAGCGATAAAGCGATGCCGATAGGTAGCGCCTTATGGAGGTTTCCGGTTGCCGACACATGCCATATAGCGGCTAGCGAAGCTAACCGCTTAAAAAAGTATACATTACCGCTACATTGCCTCTTTCGTTAGCCAGCCATTTATGCGTGTACAGTACAACCTATATATGTACATGCATAAGACCCGTTCCCCCCTGCTCTCCACGGGGAGGTGAAAGTAGGACTTTGAACAGGATGGGGTATTTTTATTCAAATCAACCAATAATTCGTCGAGGTCTGTTTTGCAACTTTTTTCAACTCTTTTTAACGCATCTCCACAATTTTGAAAAAGTTTTTTTTTCTAAATTTATAACCATCGATAAGTAAGCCGACATTCCCTCGATTTGTAACAAACTTCTCAATGGTGGCCATAATGTTCAGATGACGCTAAATAATTAGTTTCGACTGCAGAGTTATTTATATATAAATGTACTCATTCTGATTAGATAGTGAGTGAATTTTGTTGATTAGAACTTATATACCGAACCATACCTGGCTAAAGTGATATGTAGCGGTAATGAGTTGTTTTTGGCTGATTCAGTATGTAGCGGTAATGAGTTGTTTTTTGCCGGAAAAGTGTAGCGGTAATGATCGTTCGAAAATCTGACAAAATGTAGCGGTAATGAGTTGAAATTTTTGGCAATGTAGCAGTAATGTTAACCTCCCAAGCCCCCCTAGCACCCCCCTCCCCCGGTTCCGACGCCTATGCCTCTGTGTCGGTCATGTGATCAAGTCTGTTGTGCTACTGGTATGTAAAAATAAGCATGTAGTTTCTGGATAAATGACCAATCTGAAGATTTTGAAAGTACAAAAAGGTCCGGTTTCAGTTAAATGGATGAAAAATCAAAGGTTTCATACTCAGTGTGGCAGTCATTTGATCCCTCCATCTGAGAAATATTTCTGATGAGTAAACATCGTGCTGCAGATTGTCGACTTGGTATACGTGTTTTTTTTTTTTTTGGTGCGGATAGGAAAATTGTAAAGCTTTTCACACACAGCTCAATTCTAAAGTGAATTTTGAGCATTTCTTTACCGATGTGTTTATGCATTGAGCACTTAAAGACATAGTCTGAAATATCTGAAGATTTCCAGGTTTTTTTTATTTTTTATTTATTTATTTTTTTTTTTTTTACAATTTTGATATTTTATAGGCTAGGATTTTCCTGGCACGTAAAAAAACTCAAAATTATTAAAAAGCTTGGAACACGTCAGATAGAACCATTTCCAGCTTAGTTTGGCCTTTCAGCAAGGCGTGGCATTCTCGGCGCTACATTTTTACCGCCTGTCAAATGGCAATAGATTCTCATTGGTTAAGAAATGAATAACATCAAGAACTTTAAATTATTGTTGAAAACGATTAGACGACAATTTACCCCACCTCTTTGCAGGACGAAACAATGTACATACAATTGTTATTCGATACACTATTTGGCATTTGCCTGAATTTCTATCCCATGTATATTTCAACAGTGAAGGAAAGCTGATTTCAAAATTTCAAAAGCTAACTATGTAATGTCGAGAATGCCACGCCTTACTGAAAGTCCAAACTAAGCTGGAAATGCTCCTATTTCGGTCTGGTAAGGACGGAGACATCTACATGTACTTGACTATATGCTATCTATTTATTCCTAACCAGTGTTGTAGATCTATAGTGATTCACATTTCTATGGATTTTCTTACTTCAAATTCATTTAATTTTATACTCATAATGTCGAGGGGAATCTGTACATGTACTATTTTTAGTCCTTTCACTCTAAAAAAAGTTTTACTTGTTGCTTTTAAAATAAGATAATGAATTAAGAAAAACTAGTAATTATTAGTAATCCATTTAGTCAGAATAGCAAGTAAATGACTATCATTGTTAGTAATTGTAAACATAATTAGTGCTAGGAATTATATTACTTAGTAAATGAACGACTCATTTTTAGTAAATCACTATTACTTAACTTAGAGATAACATTCTTTCTATGTACTAGGTTTTTATGAATTGTTACTAAATAAATGTAATTCTGAAATTAATTAAAATCTAGAATATTATTACTTAGGAGAATACAAAGTAAATGAAATACTTATATTTACTAAAATCGACATTATTTCTTTGTAATTGTTTTATTATATTTAGCAATAAAACATTTAATTCCAACATCAAAAGCCTTCTTAATTGAATAATTTGTATATTTTTAAGGACCATTTTAAAAATAGTTTAAAGTTTCAAGTACTTAATACAGCATTTTAATTAGTATAACTTTTTTTTTACATGAAGGAATATTTAGAAGAAAGATAACTCCTTCTCACAGACAATTAATGTGAAAATTTAAGAATTCAATCCTGATAGTAATTAAACTACCATTTTTAAGTAAATATTTGTATTGCAACTGTATTGCAACTGCTCTGAATTCTCCTTGATTCAGTAAATAAATTATTGTTTTAAGTAAATCAATTGAATACAATTTAAACAAGAAGTGTTTGTGAAACACTAATGCCCCCCATATGGCAACATAGCAAAGGTTTAATTTTTCTTATATGCAAATTCAATATATTGGTATTTCTTGACATCTCAAAGGTCAAGGTCAAATGGTCAATGTTATTGGTATCTAATGAAAGGTCCTGCCACAAAAAATACATATCTGAAATATGAAAGCATTAGCCCCAACCCTTCAGAGGTTATGGTCAAGTTTACCATCTTTGAAATGTTGATCAAACTCCAAGGTCAATGAAAAAGGGTCAGATTTGGTGGTACCCAAAGGAAGGTCTTGTCACAAGGATGAAATATGTAAAGTATGAATGCACTAACCCCAAACTTTGTAAAGTTAAAGTCAAGGTTTGCTTTTCAAAAGTGGGTCAAACTCCAAGGTCAATGTCAAAGGGTCAAAGTTCTTGGTATCTAATGAATGGTCTTCTCACAGGAATTACATATATGTAAGTATGAAAGCCCTATCCTTTATCGTTCAAAAGTAATGGCCAAGGTTAAAGTTTTTCACAAGGATTGAAATCTCCAAGGTCAAGGTCAAATGGTCATGGTTGTTGGTATCCAATGAAAGGTCTTTCAACAAAGAGTATAGATGTGAAGTATTGATGTCCTGGTATTTACTGTTAAAAAGATGTGGCTAAAGAAAAATTTTGGAATCTGTAAAAGTGGATTAAACTCCAAGGTCAAGGTCAAAAGTAATGGACATGTGAAATATGCTAGTCATAGCTCCGCTAAATCAAAAGTTATGGGCAAGGTTAAAGTTTTTGCGGACAAACAAAGAAACAGACAGACAGAGAGACAGACAGATGGACACGACAAAAACTATATACCCCCGAAACTTCGTTTACGGGGGCAAAAAAAATATTAGTTATTTATAGGAATTAAAATTAAATTCTGATATCTTTATTTTTCATTATAGTATATATATAGTAGTTAGACTACCAGATTTAAGTAATTTGTTCTGCAGCTGCTCTGAATCCTCCTTGATGCAGTAAATAATTTATTGTTTTAAGTAAAACAATTAAATATAGCAATTTAAAAATATTTTAGTAATAGCTAGTAATTAGTGGTAAACTGTAAGTAAAAACCAAGTAATATGTTATTACTTACATACACAAATTTAAGTAAATATAAATTACTAAGTAAAACTTTTTTTAGAGTGTTGTATTTTAGATGATAAATGGTCCGTGTACCCCGTCAGACACGGATACCCAGGATCCATCCTTAGTGGACTCCGGATACAACGAGGGACTTCATCTCCAATGTCTGGAAAGCGTGCTAGACTGGAGGATGGACAAAGTCTATTTGACCCCAGATGACCTTGAGAGTTTCCAGTTTCGACCCTGTACTATTCAGACTGCAGATCACTCTGGATTTGAGGAACATCTGGACGAAATCTATCAACACCGCCTAAGTATAGAATACAAGTATCAAGTGACGTCATGTCTGGATAACCAACCAGAGGTAAGATGTCTTGGGAAACTAGCCAATGATAAAAACACATTGTGCACTTAATTTAGATCTAAAATTTCGATCTGCATCTAGAAATCATAAATTTAAAATATTACTTGTAAATTCATTTTTTTTGTGTTTCAGTAAAATTCCCGCCAATTTAGCAAATTTTTTTAACTATATCAATAGTTTTTTGTACGATAGGTAACTCCAGGAATGCGCGGACTCCTGATCAGCTGGTTAACGGGAATTCACCACCAATTAAACCTTTGTCAGGACACCCTCTTTGTGGCGGTCAATATCGTTGATCGAGTCCTAGATCTCATGCAAGCCTCGCGAGACTATCTTCAGCTTCTCGGAATAACCTCGTTGTTGATAGCATGTAAATCTGTAAGTGAATTGCCAAAAACTAGGATGTATATGTATTATTTCATTAAAAAGGTCTGTGATGTGACTATAATTTAATTAAAGGCTAAGATATTTACCATTTATGAATGATCAACAGGAAGAAATCCATCCTCCTGAAATTAAAGACCTCTTGAGTGGATGTGATGACGTGTACTCACGTGACCAGGTAAAGCAGCTGGAACGGGTCATTCTGAATGCACTCCGATTTGATTTGCTGGTTCCCACCTCTCAATACTTCCTGGAATATTTCTCATCATGTGTCATCAGCAACTTCACTGGTTTCCAAGGGGATCGTCTGAGGTATGTACCAATAAATACCAGTAATATTATAAAAATATTGCATGTAAAGTGTAACATTGAAATTTTTTATCCCAAGAAAACCATTGTCAACCGATGCGCAGCCGAGGTTCACATTGGTTTTCAAGGGGTTAAAGTTTCAATTTTACACTCAAGTACATACAATATTTACTATAATATTGTTTTATACAAATAGAAATAACAGTGAACCTTAATTAAGATTGCGAGTATATAGATATATTCTGCGCAGTCAACATTTTTGGAATAT